TCGTGTAGTAATTTGCGCGTCTCTCCAATGCTTCCCGGGCTAGTTTTTTCGGTTGTTTTCCGCCTCTTTTTCCTTCCTATTCCCACGCACACGTGCAAAGCACGGCGTGCACGCGTAGACGCGTGCAAATGGAATGGGAGGGGCCGGAGGCAAAACTCCGGAAAATTGAAATTAATGAATAACCGGCCTCCCTCCAGCCCTGTTTGCTCCCCGTCGGAACTTTCCTACGCTTCGCAACGCGGGAACCGGTGGAAAACCGTCGTGGAACAAAGGGGAATGCGGCTGTGATGGAAACGACGATATAACGATGACACGGGCCGTGGGTGGGGGAAAAGGGCGGGAGCGTAGGGAAGCATGGCTCCTTCCCTCTTTCTTCTTGCCATTCTTCTTGTCCTTCGGGGACTTGGCGACCTCTTTCGTATCCTGTTACAGGCGACAAATGCTTTTTTAATGAGTTCCCCCGCAAAGGGATTTTGGTCTGTGATGAATTATGCAGGCCGCGTGTCACGATCGAGAGACGGTGGGAAGGGTTACAAATTGTTTAGGAATCTCTTTGGTGTCTGCGCGCATCAGCTTTAATACCACGGTACTGTATCTGTTAATTTACAGTCGACAGATCCTTGCGAGAAGGCCAGGGCACTCGCGGTATCGAGGTCGGCGCTGTACTGTCGCAACCTTGTGCAGGAGGGCACCTTCGGGCGCGTTTACAAAGGCTCCTTGGAATTGGCCGGCCGTGAGCAGGAAGTCATCATAAAGACAGTCACAGGTATTGATACAACATTCTATAAATATTGCGTTGCAGAGCGCGTGATGATGGATTTCTGAAACGATGACTGGCCATTTGGAAACTCGTTCATGGTACCCATTATGATGTCTCGTTATTGGACTATGGACAAAAATTAAATTTAAAGTCACTTCTTTTTAAGCAGGATAATTAATATCATAATTACAATTTACATGTTATTAGATATTATTATTATTATTATTATTATTATTATTATTATTATTATTATTGTTGTTATTATTATATTCACCAAATATTTTTTGTTTCAAAATGTGCAATTATCTTATTGTTAGTCACAATATAAAACTGTTTTTCTAAAATCTCTAATATGTAGTAATAGTAATGATATATTAAAATACCAAATATTACTAATTGAATTTATGGTTACATATGTTCACGTATAATTTACAATAATTATTATAAAGAAGAAGTATTCAAAACTAAAAGTATAATATTAATTAGTCTTTCAACTGTATTCAAATTTCATCCCACAAACTCTGTTAAGCTAAGCTAGCAACATGTGGTAAAGTAGAGAATTACATACCTGTTGCTGGTTCATAAGGTAAAACAGATAATTATATTTAAACAAAAACTATCACAAAACCGGTGTCGAATATTTATTGAAAAGCAACAAGGATATTTAAAAAATCAAACTTATTACATATTTTTTAAATACATTTTCAACGATATAACCTAAAATTTCGCAATAATTCGAAATTTTGTACGTACGAAATAAAGAAATTAATATGAAAATTAATGAAACGATGTTCATTGAGTAATAAAAGAAATTTGACATTTTAGAAGTGGCATCAGCGTACCAGGCCTCTTTGCTAGTGGTGGAGGGCTCGCAGCTGGCAGGATTAGTACATGCAAACATAGCTTCGCTCGCTGCGGCATGCCTGGATAGTTCTTGCCCACTATTGGCCTACACGAGCACGCCAGGCGAGCTAAATCTGAAGCTGTATCTTACCGACGGGAACCATCATCCCGTGACCAGGGACTTAGTGCACGTTGGCGCACAGGTTGCTAGAGCAGGGGCATTCTTACACGGCCGAGGGCTGCTGCACAGGTGACTGCGTCTATATGTCTCTATTCGGTAGAATCGATTAGAATGTTAACTGAATCGCTGTCACAGAAAGTGACTAAGATACACAAATGCCATTCGTTGCGAGTGGGTGTATATTATGCAAAAAGTATGCAAAGCAGCTCTGCTTCCCAAGTGGAATTATAAAACAATGTTTTCACGTGAATGCGAAAATATACTTTTACTTAACGAATTGTACACCTTACAAACTGTAAAGAAAAGTAGAAATTGCACATATAATGATCTCATAATTTGTATGCAAATTATAATATTATTATAAATTGTACATAATGATATGCATTGTGTGCAATATTCATAGAAAATGTACTGTCTCAAAAAATTATTAAAAACAGAAGACACCTACTGTTGCTTTTTAAAAAATAAGATACTAGTATGAAAGAACATTCAGAAAAGAAAGTTGCATATATGAAATATAATGATCTTATAATTTGTATGTAAATTATAATATAATTATAAATTGTATATAATATGCATTGTGTACAATACTCATAGAAAGTGAACTATTTAAAAAATGATTAAGAAAAAAAAGCACCTATTATTATTTTTTAAGGAATAACTGAATATTAGTTTCCTTTCATTTTGAATTTATTAAAATGATTATATCAATTCATTACAATTCCTTTCCAAATTTCTTGTATCGTATAATATTTTCTTAAAGAAATTGTAATTTCTCTTATCATCTTATTCTATTAATATAATATGCACCAATAACAAAACTTAAACTGGTATGAGAAAAAAAAAATAAAGAAAGTAAATAAACGGTATAAATGGTAAAGAAAAAATATTAGGTAATATATAATTAGGTATTATATACCTATAGGTACTATATACCTATTAATTAGGTATTATATAATTATATATATAATTAACAGGTGCAGATATAAATAAAAAAATAAGTAAAAATCAAAGTTAATTTAATTGAATTTTTCTAGTAAATTCAAAAATAAAATCTCAGAAGATTTGAGCAAATTGATAGATTATGTTAATATCTAAATTAAATTTTTGATCAAGTATTTAATTGATCTTATGTTTTCAGGGATATCGCTGCCAGAAACTGCTTGATCGAGCCAAGCAGTCTTCGCGTGCGATTAGCTGATACTGCTTTGGCGCGAGATCTCTTCCCTCAGGATTACCATTGTCTCGGTGATAACGAGAATAGACCCATTCGTTGGATGGCCTTGGAGACCCTCCAGCACAATCAGTATAGCACGGCGACGGACGTGGTACGACCATAATTCGTATAGAGAATGCCACTAAACTTTTGAAGCATTGTCATTTGCTGAAGATAATGGGCGATTGAATTTTTAAATGCAACGTTGAAACGAACGAGAACAATATGTACTAGTGAGCTACTTCTTGTTTTAATGTATTCTCAGGTGATACATAGTTTAGGGAGACTAATCAATGGTGTGTAGAATGTAAGATATATAGCCCATTGTCTTTAAGTATTTCACTGTTAAAATTTTAATCATTAAGATGTAACAAATATCAGGTTTTCAATGAAGTATATAAAATTGTTTAATAACCTACAAACCATTTGAATTATTAACAAAATTTATTTAATACATTTAACAACAAATATAATTACAATAATGAAAAATATACATATATATATATATTGCCAGTTAATATATAAATACTATTTGATAAACAGTATTTATATTAAAAGGAGTTTTAGCAGTATCCATATTGAACAACACAATATTTGGCAATACTCGAAATTATAGCAATTTTTTCTTTTTTTTTATATATATATATAAAAAAGAGTCAAAAATATTTTAAGTCCAATAATTGAATTTTTAAAAAAAGAAATAACGTTTAAAGTAAAAAGAATAATTTTCTTTTTAATGAAAAGCGGCTTTATGACTGTGGCTCAGCATTATGTATACTTCATTGAAAATATATGCACAGTGTACGTTGCAACTTTTGTTAGAATGTTATCATACTGATACATAAAATATCAAAGTAGTTAATGCAACAAAATTTATCATTTGGAGCTGACATTATCGAAAGTCATTTTAAATTAAAAAAAGCTTTTATATATGAATGAATATGTATATAAGCAAAATTGTTAAACATTAACGATAGAAACATATTTCATTCCTTTTTTCCTTTTCTTTTTAAGATCGTCGCATACAAATTTTTATATTTAATATTTAAATATGCATTAAATATTTGTTTAAATCGCGCAAAATGAATTCTCGACCGATTCAGTCAGAGTGCAATCTTTCGGCTGAATTTATATTACATTCCTTATTTACATAACTATTACTGACACTGAAAATGTAAAATTTGCAATTTCCATTTATTTCCATTCCGAAAGTTCATCATACGTGTTGCAATAATTCCTATTTCCGTATAAAATATCTGTATAAAATATATAAAATGTCCTATGCGAATTAATTTCTCAAAAATTTTAAACTTTTGGAACATAACAATGTGTTGTAACTATTATTAAAATTTTCAAATAAAAATCATATTTTGCTAGAAAAGAAATCGTGTAGAAAATACTTTCTTCCGAAAGACACTATTTGTATTTGAAAGACGACATAATCTAATTTATGCAATGTAATCATTATGTAATCATTTATGTAATCAAAGTACATTTAAATTATCTACGTTTAAACTAATGAAATTTTACATACACGCTTTACATATGTAAATTATTATAAACATGTTTTTCAAAAATTTCTAATTATATACACGCTCACATCTGAGTATTACAAATGCATGCATTGTTACTGCTCCAACTGAAAACGAAGTTAATAATATCTTCATTATACGAGTTGCCCTATGATTGTGATCGCTTCGAATATTTTCGTTATTTTTAGAAATATGAAGAAATTTTATATTCGTGGACGAAGCTATAACATGTCAATTATAACCTAATCTAATCATTGATATATTGCATTGTAGATGAAGAACTTTTGATGATTTTAAGATCGCCTTATTTTTTTTTTTTAAATGGCATATAATACGTTTTCGTTTCCAACAGAATAACGAATATGTAATCCATTTCTGTAAATTATACTATAAAATAATTGGGCAATAAATAAGGAAATATTCAAAGTAACATTGTACTTTTGTATTGATACAACATTAATAGAAATTAATAAAATACAATATGCTTTTCTATTTCTTTATTTATTCTAATAAAAATGAAAGGATTTAACTTATTATTTAAAAAAAAAAGTGAAGGCAATCTTAAAATCTGTGACAATGTCAGTGAAAAAAAGATTGTTAGAATGTTGACATTCTTCATACCATACAACGTTTATAGATAAAGTTCTTCTATATCTCTAAAAATAACTTTAAATGTTAATAGATGACCAAAGTTATCGGGTCACTGTATATATTATTATATAGAAAGGTCCAATATAATGATATGCAACAATATAAAATAGCAAAGAGGTGTGTAAAGGACAAGCTGCAGCTAGATGTCACTAGTTAATCTAATTTCAAATTCTTGATATCTCAATGTGAACAGGTTAATAAATGAGAACTGTATATAATTTTAATTCATTGTGGCTACACTTCGTCTATAGATAAATATTTTGTAATACTTTAACAATTACCTAATCTGATGTTTCTTAACGTTCATGGCCTAGCTGTGGATTTCATGATGTGCTCACTAGCGTCGGTCTAAAATAAAATGTACCCACTAAGAGGTTAAGTAAACTGATAGAAAAATTCCATTTTCCTTAACATTGATTTAATTCACAAATAAACAAACCATAAAGGTTAAACAATCTATGTGGGTCCAAAGCTATTTCAAAAATTTCAGTTACATAAAAAAAAAAGGAGCAAAGTATATTTGCCAAGAAATGTACTTTTCCATTTTCATACCGATATTCAGATTTCTATCACGTATCATGAATATTCAAAACATATTTATATTTTGCATGAAATAATTTTCTTCTAACCTCAAAAATTTTTCATAACCTATAACATTCTTGCTTCGTATTCGACAACTACGATTTTACGAGTATAATTTATACTGCGAGCGATACCAATGTAAATCAATACGACGATTCACATTTGTTTGACAATACAATTATTTTATTCTTTTCCTTTTTTCCTCAGTGGTCGTTTGGGGTGTTCCTGTGGGAACTGGCAACGATGGGTCAGCAACCGTACGTCGAGGTGGATCCGTTCGAAATGATGGCGTGTCTTCGAGATGGTTATCGACTGGTCCAACCGAGACCATGCCCGGACGAACTCTTCGCCGTGATGGCCGTTTGTTGGCTAGGCCTTTCCAGAGATCGGCCGACCATGCCCCAACTTCTCGCCTATCTGCAAGACTTTCACGACGCCCTCGGCGGTTTCATCTAAAATATTCATACTCGAACGTTTCACGATGTTCCTTGAAACACATGCACATTTCGGAATGATACGTTCGAATCACGTCGCGGAACCTTTTCGTTGACGTCTCTCGCGAGAGTTTCGAACACGAGCAAGAGGATTCAACGTGAGCAGGAATCGAAACGAAGACTCGTCGCGCAAGACACACGGGATGAACATATAACCGGACGAGAAACGACGAATTTTTGAAAGTAACGAATACGCACGGAAAAGTATGTCTTTGGGAAAAGAAAAAAAGAAAAAAAGGAAAAAAAAAAGCGAGAATCGAAAGTGGAAATGAAATTGTACGGAATTGAAAATCACTGCCCATTTGCGATTATTGATTGTCAGCGACGGCACTCGACATTCCCACTAGAGCGTATCAGCAGGCCGCATTGTTTTCGAAATTCCGTTCGAGGCACACCCGGAAAATCAAAACAAGCGACGGTTGACCAAGCTGCAGTGCGATTCCGCGGATGATTATTATTCGATTTCTGAACAAACGAGCGAACTGCTGCCTGATCGCCGTTGAAAAGATCGACGCGGATACATCCGTCCATAGCAGATAAAAAGAAAATTTGAAGCGCACAGGATTTTCATAGCGCGACAAACAGACGCGGCAGAAAGCGCAAAATGAAAAACGTGGCGCCTGTGAACCCGCAACCTGCTCGTGCACTTAACACCATTGGTTTACAAGCGTGCCTTCGTTAACGTGTCTTTTACTTCGCTATTCCACTCCAAATTCTACGATATTGCATGATATTTACATGAATGAATTGCGTATATGTCAATTAGATCATTTTAGAAGTTTCTACGTAGTTTTTTATGTTCTCTTTTTCATTATGTATGCAGATATGTTGTTTTCCATAAGAACATATAATACGTAATCTTTTTGTATACATTTGGGATACGACTACAAATTTTCGGTTGACGGGACAAGTAATTCCGTATTAAGAATTGTGACATGAATGCTATACAATTATTTGGTAGATTGTGGTTGTGAAATATTTTACATGTTTATCTTTTTCTTGCGACATTTTTCTTATTTACTCATATCAGTCTAGCATAGAATTTGTCAAAATTGAAATTAGTTACTTGCGACTATGTATTGTAATTTCAAGTATAGAGTAGACTTGTGGGTACTGTATGATTTGAACAAGAACAGTTGCATCGCCCTGTGTCAAATGGGAAAACAATCTAACCTCTAAACATTTTTCTTTTTTTTTTTTTTTTTTTTCAATACCTAAAGCAAATAGATTTGTATTTGAAGGTCATGTTGTATACATGGCGGGGTAAAAGCAAAATTATTTATTAAAAATTCTTTACACGGAATGAAACTGTCATAGCAGATCATTATACGAGCCAACTATGCAGTTTAATATCGCTCTAACCTGTTTTAATTACGCGATAACGCTAGATTACGTATCGCAAAATGCACTCCTGGAAAATTAAAAGAATTATAAGAAATTTTATGACACGCTCCATATTCCTCTAATACAGTTTAATTAATTATTATTTAGTTACTTAATTAGAAATTCAAATAATTTTCTACATAGAAGAGATTCATCTATATGGAGCAAATAAAAATTGCACTAGTTATGCTTTTTAATTAGAAATTTATAAAAATTTCCAAGTTTAATTAATAAAATCATGGTTAGCAGTGATTGAGAATAGGAAAAATTATGTTGACCATAAAGCTTATTATTTTACACGCAATAAATAAAATTCATGGAAAAATACGCACTTCTGAAATGATCTGATGTAACAAATTAAACTGATCAAGCAATACTTTCAACTTGAAATAACAAATTTCGTGAAACTTCAACAGTCTTGTCGCTTTACACGAATATCTGAGCGGTGCATCAAAAAATTCTACAATCAAAATACGTATTTGATCAAAATATAAAAGTGCTTTCAACAAGATTGAAAACTGCCAGACGATTATTTTTTTAAACAATCTTATTGAATCTTATGCAACATTTGCAAACACTTTTACTCTCGTCAATATTTGGATTATACGGTTCCATTCGTAAAATTGTACGAACAATTTCGAGGCAAGGCATATAAAGCTTTGCATTCTTCTCAAATGTCTTTTCACAGGTACATTCGCGATATCAATGATGGTGTAACATTACGGTATTATATTACATAAAAACGTACTTTTAATATCGAATAAGAAAAAGCAGTAGATAGAACCACAACTCGGACGAGTTAAGTGGAATCGCCCCGTTGTACATTTGTATTTACTTCTATGGTATTAGTTAACCTGCAAAATATTTGCTTCCAACGATTTTATAAATAATGCATCGAGCTCGAAAAGGGGAAAGTTTGCAGCAAGAAGGGAGATAGAGCACCGACAAGCATAGGTTGCCTCTTGTTAACGCATTTTCCGGAAAATTATTCGAATTATTAAAACTTTCGCAAACGCGTGAACATTTAAAAACAATTTCACCCAGAATTCCTGAACATAACCTCGTGAATACATTTCCTCTCGAACGATATAGAGCTAATACGATTAATTCGATAAAAGTCGAAACAGAATCGATATCGCGAGTGTATATCGCGAGAAGCTTGACACATTGAGATGAACCAATCCGAGCACAGATGTCGCACTGTGTAAACTCCAACAAATCTCGTCACGCCAAAAATTGTGAACTAATAAGCGATTTGCTTCGTCGGGTGGACATTCGTACGTACGTACGAGCATCGTATCGATATCGATGACGTCATCGATTCTTTCTAGAGAACGTTCGCGTAGTGTACGCAAAATCACGATTGTTTAATCGTTATTTGCGAAGTATCGCGATCGCGAAACTTTCATATAATCGTAACCGGAACGACAGAGAGAGCAAATGCAAAGCTCGGGACACATAGGAATCTAATTGTCGTGTCTGACCTTCGGTAGGCATATACCGTTGCGTAAATGGGCGGTCGAACTATACGTACTTGTAGTTATGTACCTATTAGCCACACCGCGCAAGTCACTTCAAATATCTACGTCTCGCGTCAGATTGCACGAATTATGCGGGATGTCAAGCAAGTCGCGATGTCGTGGTTTTTGCCGAGCATTTAACTCTTTGCGGTCCCGCGTTTCTTCCTGTTGCCCATCCAGCTCGTTCTATTAATCGAAACGGACACTTGTCGCTGCTTACCTCCTGATATTTTTCCTACGGTTTTACAATTTGACACGCGTGCGTCCAACTTCGTGACAAGTGTACCGTAAATCGTGGTGAAATATCGTTACGTTTAACGGTAAATTAAATTAGGAGAATTGTGTCTTGCTGCTCGATCTAATATCGACGTGATCGGTAAACGACACGTAACGTGTTATTGAATCGAGATGGAAAATCGTCAAGAATCATTCAAAACTGGTGTTCGAGTGTACGTATACCTTACGTATATGTCATGTTATAAGCGACACTCTCCTACTGCATCTTTAAACGTAAGATATTTCGACATAGCTCAATACGATATTTTTTGTAGAAGAGATATTTATGAAAATATTTATTCCAATCTTTTTTCTAGTCTTTTCTAGTCTAATTTTTGAACAGTGCTTTATTTTGAATCGTACTTTATTTTTTAAGCATGTACATCGTTCAATGTTCCATTCGGAAGGAACAATTTGCATTTGATGTTTATATAAAGTGATAGCGTTTAATTTCCTATTTAGCTGACGTAAGCAAGAAAAAAGTGATGTTCGATTGGCTGTATAGGGAAGAGGAAAGTTGTTGGATTTCTTGAAAACTGTTAGAGCAACGATGATCGCGGCGGAAAATTGATAAAAAGACGCGAGATGGCGTAACACACATGTTTAAATGTACTCGATGTGTAAATGTCGCATGTTCCTGACTACGACCATTAACTTTATCGCACTCTCTCTTTCTCGTCCCTTTCTCCCAACCCCTTTTTCGACTATTACCTTTCGAAGCATGATAAAAAGCTGAATCTACGATCCCACTTTGTAACTATTGCTACGAGCATTTCACTACTACTAATTAATATTACTATTTAAAATAACTATCGCTCGCCACTATTTATTACGACGTCCTAAAGTCGATTTATTTCACGAAATCGTCGTCACTATGATGTGTATCCGGTAATCGTAACTCCTTCAATGTCTTTCTTTTATTAATGGAGGAACAGGGTAGGCTAGCGCTGCACACTTTTTTCGCTATCTCTGTACAATGAAAAAAAAAAAAAGCCTCGTGTCTCCACGTCAGTGTCGCCCTCTTTTCCCTATTTCCACGAGGGTTCTCGAAGAGGATACCGGCGGAGCTGTGGTCGAAACGCCCTCCATTCGATTCCGCCTCCCCCTAAACGCAACCAAAGACCTCATCATGAGACAGTTCCAGTCACTGTAAATATCTCTAGCGAATAATAGTGGTGCGCCGAGTGAGTTGATTTGTGCAGATTCTATTATTTCCTACGACGATTTACGGCATTATTTTTCAACGGAAAGTGAAATATACGTGTTAAAAAAAAATTCCAATGTGTTGTCTTTTCCATCCTGCACCTTCGTCGTTATATATATTCATCTATTCATAAGTCAGTGCATAGTGTATTATTTTTTTTTAAATTTAATATAAATTTTTCTGTATTTATTTGTATTTTGTATTATCTTTTTTCAAATTTGATGTGAATTTTTTTTGTAATTCAATATGTATAAAACTTTGTATAGGATATTAGTTGTCATAATAAATTAAATATAAAAATAAACTAATTAAAATAGGGGAATAAAGTAGGGAAAAAAACAGTTTGCAGACCTATGTTGCATTCAATGAAGCTTACTGGTTGCCATAAATCCCTAAATATTAAAAACTCTTTTCTTTGACAGTCTATGTTTTATTTATTTCATGACAATGGATAAGATACAATATGCATCTGCATATATCTACATTTAAAAATGAAACTTCTTGCAACAAGTTTTTAAATATCATTACCTACCAATTTCTTATGATCAGAGTAATATCAAAATACTATTAAACAATATA